AGAAAGAAAGCAAATGGGTGAGAAAGACAGAGGAAAAAGATAGAATAAAGTGCAAAAAATAAGCAATGAAGTATGATTAAGACGAAAGATCAACAGAAAGAGCAAGATAGGAAGTGCTTAACGGGAAGATAAAGTCATCAGAGAAAGATGGATGGAAGTTACAAGAAATTTGAAGAAGAAAAGAGAGAGAGATCGCGAACAACATAGAGGGATTGAGAGGGAGATCGAGCGTGAGAGAGAGAGAGAGAGAGAGAGAGACAGCGAATTCGAGAGATAGACTGATCTCTCTTAAGAGTTAAAAACGCATTAGATGAGATTGTTGAGTGAGAACTTTAATATTAATACGCAATAATTAATATCTCGCGAAATTTTATTAAAAATTCAGCGTTTTATTCATTCTTATTCGATTATCAGGCGCCCAGCTTGAGGGATGCATCATCATTTATGCTACTTGTGTATAATGATATCTCATTATATATTTAATTTTCAGCTCTTCATTTCGTTTATCAGCTGGACGGCATCTTTATTATTAATTTCATTATTAAACATATATTTTCTTATGCTCTTCCTTTGGGTACTCCCAATTCGGGGAAAATCTGCTGAAAGCCTTTCAGCATTCCTTTCCTTTCGCTGCTGCCATTGATAATAATTTATTATGAATTTCTTTATTATTTTGCTGCTGTGCTGTGAATCAGTGGGCCTTGTTGTTGGTGTTGCTTTTTGTACTCGTCTTTGTCTCTTCTCCTCGATTTACATTCTCTTATTCGTTGTCGTGTGCCTACAAGGAAGTTTAAATAAACATAAAATGGCGACACGCGCATGAATAAGGCAGCAGGGCGTACGTCTGCATATGCAGCATATACACAATTTATGCCATGCACACTCTGACACCCTTTCACACACACACACTCACACACACAAGCCCACGCACAACATATGAAAACAAACAAATTGACATGCCGATGCCGAAAATGCAAACAAAATGTTGGCATATAGCGGCCGAGGCCCAGATATGGAAGTTGTGCAAAAATCTTTTTGCTGTTGGGTAAATGTTTTAAAAATTGTTGTAAAATTCATCGGATATGAAAATCTAATGATTTGTAAAGTCGCCGATAAGCGCGAGGCGCCCTCTGGCGGGCGGCAACCGACAACAACAAAAAGAGGCTGAAAAACTGTTGCGATTGGTGGGGAAAGTGTTAAAGGATTTTCCGCATTTATTGAAATATTAATATTTGCCTTTTCTCCCAGTCCTGAGCATTGGATTGTGTGCGTGTAAAATTATTGAAAACTTTGGCATGCAAAGTTTGCCGTAGCTATATTTTCGGGTCTATCCGTAAGTTTTCGCATGTGCGTATACCACAAATGTTTGAACAAAGAAAATTCAATGGGCTAAAAGTTTGTACCCGAAAACAAAATCAATTCAAAGTTTGTGTTTCTGTAACTCTTTTCCCTTTCTTTTGTGGGTCAATGGCGCTTAGCCTTTTCCATCGCCCCCCAAATTGATAAGCCATCTGGGGCCTCACTCGATGCATTTAAGAGGATTAACAGCCTTTAGATAGTAAATTATGCTGAAACTCAGCTGAGGTCTGTTCGCATTTCGCAATTGTATTGTATATATATTTGATTTATTTTAGAAATTTATTTTTGCTCTTAAGCAAAATCTCTGCTCAGTTTCCAGCGCGTGGCATTAAAAAATATTTACTGTGTCTAGACTTTGCTGCGCATAAATCAAATGCATTGGCCGAGGAGAGTCTTACTGCAGTTTTTCGGCCACAAAAACAAGTAAAACAGAAAGCAAAAGTGTGCTACTTGTAAATGTTTGACCAAGAAATACCCTGTACGCTCACTTAAGAGTTAAGAAAATGAGAATTCTTATAGAAAATATTTTATACCTGATACTAGTCGTTCCCTATAGAACTCTTTATTCAATATATTTGGAAAACAATGAGTTTGGAGCTAATTGAATTCGGCATGGATCGACCAAATTCTATAAAGTAGTAGCTCGAGTATACCCTTTCACTCTCTTCTATTACAGGGCATAAGAATATAAAAATAAATAAAATTGTAGCCATAATGTAGTTCTTATTGTGCGTGCTTGTGTGTCTGCGTTGCGTATACTTAATGTGCGGCATCGAGTTCTGTGAAAGTGCCAAAATGCGCAAGACTGTGTGTGCCCGTGTGTGTATATATACATATATATATATTTATGTGTGTTGGTATTTTATAAATTTTATTTATATGCTTTTAAGTCAAGTTTTCAGTTGGTTGCTTTGGTGTTTCCTTGCGAAGCACCGCAAATGTATTTAAAAGTCGAAATGTAAAGAAAAACAGGAAATGGCAATTAGTTTGGTCAAGTGCTAAGCATTGACTATAATTTAGGTTTTTCTATCGATTTCAAGAATATTGTAGCTATTTTCTGCTATAGGAAGTGTTATTGACCTGCGGCTGAGTTCACGTTTGAACTAATTTTATAACAGGATATCTTTAAACGCAACTAGTTTTAGAAAAAAAACTGGAAGTACCAACGTTTATATAATCATTTTTTTAAAGATATTTTATCGAATTCCTGCTTTTGTTTTTCAATATACACCTCCCATTGACTTGCAAATTTTCTGATTAAACACCAAACATTTCTTAAACTGTGTACGACATTATTTGACAATTTGGTAAAAAATATAATTTAAACATTAATATAAACATCTCAGTCGCCGCGTCTCAGACCGCTCGGATCGAGCACAAATCGCATTCCGAAAGCAAAACGATCAGTCGGCAGACTCATCACCACACTAAAGCCCATTTGTATCGGTATATAAGACAGATATCTAACGAATATCAACAATATATGATTATAAGATGCATATGATTATTACATCAGCTAAAAACGTACTTGGTCCACATGAAACCAACCAGCGCATCCGAATCGATCATTCCGTGTACGGCACAGTTCCAGAAATTCCATTGATAGCATATAGTGGCAATTGTTTTGCGTGTACTGCGATTCCAGGCTAATAGATTGGCCATCTGGATTTGTGGATGAATGCGCTGCCAATAGCTAACGTCCAGACCCTGACGGGAGGCGGTTGCCGCAAAGGAATAATGATGATGCGAGTAGCTGAAAGTCGGATAGTAGATATAGACAGAATCGCGTGATGATTATAGTTGTCAAGGTAATTCAAATGTCGGTTCAACTAAGCTTAGCATTCTATCTTCTCTATATATAAGAGGATTATATAATTCAGAGAATATCCCAACACTTACCGCGCAGCAAAAGCCAAGTCAGTCATGAGGTTCTTTGGCTCATTCCACTCTAGCAGTAGCTCGCCACCGATTGCCCAGTGCTGGGTAATGGAACGCATTACCGACAAAGTGCAACGTCCATTCTCATTGCGAACATTGTAAAAATTTGCTGCCCATGTGTCGCTGGGTCGCGTCCACTCAATAGTATATTGCGTTTCCACTGGCACATCCTCGCCAGGCTTTTGCAGAACGGCCTCCAGTCGCAGTGGCTTGAAGGGATAATACAGTATATTCAAATTGGCTGCCAATGTGGTGGGATGTATGTCGCCAACAATTGTTGGCGTCAGCTGAAAAGTCCAAAGAGTTGACGCATGTTAGATATGCTAATATGCTCATGTTCGTCCATTTACTTACCATGAAATCATCTAGTACACGGAACGTGTAGAGACCTCCAAAGCGAAAACCAGCGGCTCTCACATGACTTAATACCCAAGCGGCCGATATGAATTTATTTGGAGCCAATCGATGATAATAGTCAAGCTCGACGCCATCATAGAATTTGGGCATCACATTGTGTGCGAGACTGTGCAGGGTCTGTACATTGCCCGGATTCTTCTTGTTGGAGACGCCGCTGTGTCGCTGAAAACAGGATGGAAACTTATATCCACCAAATGGTGGACAAGAGTTGCAGGACATGCCACACGAACAAAATCAACTTGTCAACTATATGTATGGAAACAGCGTGAAAATGTATCTGAATTGAACTAGCTTTAGGCCTGAGAAATTTTGGGCTTTGTTTTGTTTTGTGGAAAACTGTTAATGTCTATTGTATTTACTAAAGTTTTCCACACTCAATAAACAACTAACGAAATGTTATATCGATCTCAGTTTCTCACTATACTCCAAAAACTCAACTACACAAGTGTAAATGTATGTGTGCGCGTGGCGTGTGCATGTGTGCGTGTGTGTGTGAGTGTGCAACATCAAAAATGTATGATACCCCCAAACATCAGCTGCCAATTGTCATTTTATGCGCCATTTCATGTAACGCCAGACCAAACGCCTGTCAACAGGAACTTACTCTCTCTCTCTCTCTCGCTCATAGTCTCACTCATTCTTGCGTTCTCTTTCGTTTTCTCTTATCTCTCTGCCTGAACTGTCATCCTTTTCGTCCTTTGGCACACCATTAGGCGCATTTCACACTTTTTACATTATTTATAAGACACACAATTTGCCTTGGCAATTCCTTTCTCTGAATACCCTAACATTGAGTTACTTTCATGCAATATGTGAAACGCTGCAGCCATATTTAAAACTCTAATCTCATTTACAATTATATTTTATTTATATTTCAATAAAATCAAGCTTAGTCGGATTTTAGTACGTTCACGTATTGAATTCAAATGGAAATATAAAGAGAGAGCAGTTAATAAAGAGTATTGGAATTTCAACCAAGGTCTTCTCGAATTTTACTTTGCCATTGCCGGCGACTCATTGGCGATTCGGTATTTCATGTAATATTTAAAGCTTTCCACGAGCCCGGCTGATTTAGTTTCCGGTTGGCTGAGGATCAACGTCAGCAGCTACTTTCCCCTACTTGAGGAAAATGTTGTAAGGCAAATGCAGCGCTTGAATAGTTTTTCTTTTTGCTTTTCTCTTTACCGATTATGTTGTTTGATTTGGGCTTGTGAACAATTTATTGCAAAAGATGACAACCGAAAGCAGATTTTGAAAGCTTCGTTGAATTTATAAATCATACAAAACTTGGTGCGGAAATATAATCTATTCAAGTGTATAAATGGGCTTAAGGCTAACAGAGAAAGTTTAAGTAAACGAAAGATATATAAATGCAAATTAATAATAGTATTAATTAAGTATTAGTTCTAGGTACAAGCGGTAGCTGTTCGCAAGCGTGGTTATATCGCTTACCACGCTTTCGACATTCTAATTGAATCCATTTTTCTATATAAATGTTCGTAACTGTATTTCTCCCCACTGGCGCATAGATTACGATATGTTGAGTCCAGATGTCGGCACTTGATGCCGGGACTAACGCCCCAATTGTACATCCGTTGCCCGTCCTGAGTGTCCGCGCCAAAGACGCAGCTGAGCATCAAGTACGTGTACAGGTTACTCGAGTAGCGGAGTACGGCGCACCCGAACTGCGTATTGTGCTCGATCAGCAGCAGGGCTGATTGCAAAATGTTTGTACTGAAAGGGAGAGAGAGAGAGAGAGGGGGAGTTAAAGGACTCTTTGCTCAGCCAGCGTAGCACTTACCTTTCATCAGATTTGGAGGGCAGGTGTAATGATTGGTATCGCGTTATGCTGCGTACCCGCGACATCCAGTTGCTTGCCATACTCTGTAGGGTCTCGAATGTGGTCGAAGTTAGATTATCGGTTTGAAAGCCATATAGTTCGGCTAGTCGGCCAATGGCATAGAATTTCTGCGAGCACATCCAGGGTCGGGGCGCTACGCTGCAGCGTTTGACGTCCAGTCTAGCAAATTCCGCCAATTCATTGTTCCAGGACATTTTTCCCATACGCGCTGCGGGCGGCAAATTTCTATATATTTTGCCACCGGCTACCTCATTGCGCAGCGTATTAAATGTTTCCTCAAGATCCTCTCTGAATTCTCGCTCTTTCAATAGCTGGCCAGACTCGGGGCATTCCAATATTGCCTATGATCAAAACGAAGATCATTATTCAATTTCCTCCAAGTACAATTCAAAACTCACGCCGCTATTATTACATGGCAAATTTCTGGCATAACAAGGACGAATATCACAGTAGGGACTATCCAAATTCCCTGCGCCCACAAATCCCAGGCAGAGCACAAAGCAAAGCGGCAACAGCAACTGGTTAACTTTCATCGCAAGACTAAATTAATCTAGTTAGAAAACTAAGCACTTCTGCATTTATATGCATCTAGCATCTAGCGAGCTAATATGCAATTGTTTCTTTTACCTTGGAATTGTTTAGAACAGCTGGCAAGCTGTTGGCCATTAGATATTTGTAACATAACAACAATTGATTACCAGCAGTTTTTTTTAGAATGTTATCAGAAAATTTAGGCTTAACTTATAAGTTTTCTCTGATTAAAAGAAAGTGGCTTGCGCTTAAACTTTATTAGAATTAATTTCTACAACCACGTAAACATTGTTTCCAGTAAAATGTTTGCGAATGCAACACAAGGCAGACAAAAATATTTCAATGCATGCCGATATTTATCAATTTAAACCCTACTGAAAAGCCAGACAGCAAATGAAAATAAAATAGTTTGTCATATGGAAAATATTTATATAAAGAATATTAGTTTAAATTGTTAAAATATTATAACAAGCAAAATGGATAAAACATAATACAAATGGTCAAAAACCTGACCTATTTTCGAGATGCCGAAGATTAAATACCCTAGCAGACATATATCAGATATGGCATGTACTAGGTCGTTGTTTTCATACGAAATATTATTTTTTAGCTATATATATGTGAGATTTTGATAAAGGAGCAAAAAAGTTATAGTTTTGTCAAACGAATTAACTTGCTTGGATAGAAGGAAACAGACAGAGTCTATCTAGATTATATTTTAATATATAAGAGAGTTCGTCCTGGCTGGTGTTAAACGCACATCCAAAACCTTAACTGAAGCGTTCTTTTGGGAATATTTAAGCTTTAAGCGGGAAAAAACGGTGTTAAAAGAAAGTACGAAAAGTATTAAAATTGTGCCTTGCAGACGTGACGTCATGAGCCTGTGTGTCCTAGGTGTCTGAGCATGGGGTTAACAAATGAGAAGAGAATTGTCAATTGTCAATTTTGATATTTGCTTATATCATTTGTGTTTATTTGCAAATAAAAAGAGCAATAATAATAAATTGAAAAACAACAAAGTAATAATAAACGAGTGGGGTTAACAATAAAGAACTTAGTCTTCTCATGTTTTGATTGTTTTGTCAAGTTGCAAGCGATTGATTCAAATTCAATTCGAATTGGAAAACATGTTTTTTGACAGATTTGAACAGAAGTGTTTTCTTTTGGACAAATTGAGTCAAGACAATAGGGCATAGATGCGTGGTAAAGTGGGGAATTCTATCGGAGATCTATCTGCAGTTCCTTGACAAAGTTATAAAAATGTCTGCAAGGGTATAACAAATTAGAAATACAAAGAATTTGTTATTTCACTTCTTAATCTAGTAAGTACTATATAATACTAGATGCATATAAAGAAAGTATCTGCTATGAAATTTTTGCTGGTTACCAAACCAAATGCATTAGTGAGCATGCCATTTGTTAGGGCATAAATACCAAGAAAATGACGCTGCCTGTTGGCTCTCCAAGCCGATTTCCAGTTGAGTTCATGAAAGCAAATGCAAAACTTGTTTATTCAACAGCTAAGTCGCGGCTTGGACTTAAGTATTATTCTTTCTGTTTAAGAATGAGCAGCCTGGAGAAACACAGAGAGAGAGAGAGAGAGAGAGAGAGAGAGAGAGAGAGAGAGAGAGAGTGAGCGTATACATTAGTTATTTAGACGTCGCACTTAAATTTGTCACTCAAACAAGCCAGTTGCTCCTCTGTCCAGACAACGACTTTGGACAACGCTTCTCAGGATTCAGTTTCCATTTGCCGCCATTTGCTCTAATTTAATATGCTAAAATATTGCAAGCCGCATTCGCAATCGCTAAATCAAAGCGCAGCGACCACAAAACTTTTGCCAACCGCAAAGCCCAAGCAGACCAAAGAGAACGACAGAGTTGGAAATGAGGTTGAAAATGGTAATGGGAATGAAGATGGAGATGGAGCAGGAGATGGGAATGGGTAGTGTATATAGATAGACTGTGTGACAAGGAGTCGGAATTATAATCATAAGTAAATACAGCAAGCCGCAAAATTTCAAAGACAATGCCGCGCCCCGAGTCTTTAAATGTAATTTAATAATGGGCAAGTAGTACAGCTTTTCGCTAGAAAATACATTGTTTTCGGGAAATGGATGTGAAGATGTCAACAAAAATTCTTTAGAATATTGTTTGTAGCTACAAATATTTAATTTAAAATTTTACTATGTTTAAAGATAATATCATAAAATACTTCTTGAGCATCGATATCTTTTGATTGAGAGAACTATCGATAGTTTTCCCACTATCAGTGCGTTGTGATTACCTTGTAAAGCTATTCTTACAGAGATTGATAAGCCCATACAATAGGCATTCACTTCTATATTAAGGTATATTTATATTTATTTATATTCACAATATAATTTTGGGTTCAAATATATTTGTGAATATTTCTTTTATACTGCTTGAATATCATATATGCAATATATGGTATCTTTTCATAGAATTCACTTTTTATGCGAGTTTATTTGATAGCCCATAAATATGTTGAACAATTGAATTTTGTATTTTTATTTTTTAATTTACATTTGTTGTGTATCATCCCTAGACACGCCCCCAAGAAAGACACGGACATTTAACTTATTAGCTTTTTCAATCAGTCTGATAAACGGGCGAGGGAATGTCGCGCCCGAACTCAGCATACACACACAAATGCGAGTATTCAAATGCATATAAATTAAAATTGAAATATAAATGATAGGGCAGGCAACAAACAAAACAAAAAAAAAGCTTAAAATATTTACAGTTCTGGGAAGTGGAAATTGTAAAACATTTCTCATATGCACGAAAATATCAGGAAGGAAAAAAAATGTGGAAAATGCGGAAAAAAAGAACACGAATTGAAAACAAATTCAATCGCATTGCAATCCACAAAAATGTATTTATTTATTTGTATCATATTTTATTTTATTTATTTGCAACTTGTTCGCTTGCGTAAAATGCTTGCTGCAAACGTGTTTATTTTTTAAATTGGTCATCGTTTTTTATGCATTCGCCATATAATTTAATTTTATTTATTACTCGTTAAAAAACACGGAATATACTTTATATATTCCATAGAATTTTTTCGACACCTATTTTTTATGCATAGCCCGCATTTGCATGGATCCATGTTTTTTTTTTCGTCCGAACTACAAACGTTTGAGGCGACTACAGAGGGGCGTGGCAGTTGCCACACTTGCAAATTCGTTATCGATAAAAGTTATTTGCGCTTCTGGTAATCTCGTTGTGGGCAGCCAAAGGGGAAACGGAAGAACAAAAATACAAGTATTAAATGAGAAAAGCACAAATCGCGTTTATTGTTTAAAATATAGTAAATATTTTTTATTAAAAACCTTTTTTTTTGTTATAGGCGTGTATTATATATGGCAAACAAAAAAGTAATAGAGTCAAAAATGTTTTTGGCAGTATATTAATTTCTCTTTGACAATATTCCATGGCTTTAATTGTTAGGTTGACCTAGATTGCAGGCTTATGCTGATTGCTCCCTGAGTACGTCAATTGATCACTATGAATAATTATTGCTTATCAATCAGATAAATAATATAATTTATATTGGTCAATTATGAGATGCTCGCTCTGAAAGAAGTTTCATACATTTTTTGAGCGTTTACGTTGGGCAGAATGTAAATTTTAGAGATTTCTCACACCTCTAAAACTGTAACTAAAACAATAAAATATTGCCGGCAGTAATATACAATCACAACTTATTTTAATGAGAGGAAGGAAGTTCTTAAAAAATAAATAATATTATTAGCAAGTAGTAAAGAACCAGTTTTTTTATTCCTCTATATTATCAAAAACACTTGCATGTCACAATTTGGTCGAATTTCTTTTTCCAGGGCGCATATAGAAAGCTCCTGCTTTAAATAATAATTCAAATCCGTATCTCAAATCTTTCATGTAGCATAGCTTACTTTTGTCTGCTTAACCTAATTAATAATTTATATTATTTTCAATTCACTTTCGCCACAATTTCGCTTTTACAAATAAAACCTTGCATACTTTTAGGCGACCGTGCATTTTGCCTTTTGCCATTTGAAACTGGAAATTTTTGTTGAGCCTGTGAAATTACTTACACTTATGTTTGAATAGTAAACTGAAATGTAAACACATCTCGGCGAGCACTCATACTCGATTTTGCTCTTACTTCTGGTCCATTAAATATTTACAAAAGGGGCGACAAATCAAAGTGACTTCAGATTGACAAACCGAAGCCCCACTGGCACTTTTACTGGATTTCGCTTCTCACAAATATTTGCATACCGTTGCCTCAATGCCTCAATTGCCGACTGACGACACGTTGTTGGCCAAAGTGAAAGAGTTTTCAGTGCCGGCTGGCACTTAGGCACGATTTGCATTACTAACAGGTTATCGATAAAGCAGCGATTGCAGCAGATCCACAATTCGAGTCCACTTGTCACTTGGACCAAGTAGCTAGTGGCTAAGTGTCTCCAGGTTGGGTCTGGCCCATCCATTATTTGGTAATTATTTAAGTGCCTTCCGGGCAGCAGGTGGGTGGTGGGTGTAACTACCCCAGCTACGTCCATCATTGACCAAGACCGGAGCCGGGGCCGGGGTCGGGGACAGGACCAATAAGTGAAAAAATCAAAAAGCCATAAAAACTTTACACAATCGAAACGTGCAAAAGTTGTTTTTTGCCAACGCTAGCAGAAGCAACAAAAACCCCAATGGAAAATCTATATTCGCCGACTATGGAATACTCTACAATGTCAACAACAGAAAAACAAACGAGGAAAACAAAAAACATAGCTATAAAAATAAACGCATTTTTGTACAACTATATTTTAGATCATAACGGAGCTTAAGCAGCTGAAAAATAATAGTCGACGAAAAATTTGTAAAAATTAGTTGCAAAGCAAACTTGGATTTCGACTAATCGTCGTTCGGGTTGAAGTTGTTCGATTCAAGCGGCTAGCTAAACCGAATAACAATTTATAATGTCATATAGATCCTTCTCATATTGCTACAAATTCCATTTATAA